TTCGCACAACATGGAATAGCCACCGTAGTCGCTGCAGCTCAATACGACTGACTATGTCGATGTCCGCGTATAAATTGTAATGCTCGTGGTTCATTCGACGCCAATATTTACCGTCGACGCAGATCGGCCCGTAGATCTTTCGGAGAATTTTTCTCTCAAACACTCCAAGAGCTGCCTCATCTGCTTGCACAAGTACCCATGCTTCAGATCTATACAACAGCACGGGTAATATCAGCTTCTTGTAGAGTGTGAGTTTGGTCTGGTGGGAGGTGGCCTTGTTTTTGAGTTGCATACTCAGACCATAGTAGAATCTGTTGGCCATCACAATCCTTCTCCGAATTTCAAAACTGATGTCATTCGTTTTATTTATGGCGGGTACCAAGGTATATAAAATCTTTGACTATCTCGAAGAAGAATGATAAGAAGGCAAAATACAGATTCTTCGGATTCATACGTTCCGATTGTTTGTGTAACATTCGATATAAGAGGCCAGGAAAAAAATATGGGAAAGATTGAATTCCGTCTTTGCTAAGGAGTCTATGATGATTTTTTTAATTTGGAAAACGCTCTCAAGGATTAGAATTCATGAAGGTGACAGTGTTTTTATTTCGGAAAAGGCTCTCAAGGAAACAAATTTATGAAGGTGACAGCGTTCTATCTCATATAAATACGTTTGAAAATTTGGTTCGGCAGTTTCGATTGGCTGGGGCAAATGTTAAAGAGCCAGATATTATTGTAGCATTATTTTTAACGTTACCGGAAAAGTACGGAAAAGTTACTGCGTTGTAAAATGTGGAAGATGCTAAACTTATTTTGAGTATGATAAAGGAAAGAAAGGGGGATGACGGAGGATTTGAAATTGTCCGACCGATACGAGGAAGTAGGCGAAGAAAAGACAGCGTTCATGGGGAAAATGCCGTATGAATCCGAAGAAATTCAATGGAAAAAATGTTTGAAATTTCACAAGTTTGGCCGCCAAAAAGAAGAGTATGTAGCTAGCAAACATGCAGTACATTTAATGACATGAGCTAAAAGAGCAGCCAAAGATGACAGAAATACCATAATTTTTAAAATCGGACTCGGGCGCATGTGATCACCTCGTCAAGGACTTGCAAGAACCTGTCGAAATTAATGTTGCAAAGAATAATGTATCCCTGTTTGCAAGGCATTATGTAGTAATCAATGGTATCTCAGCTGTAACGGAGCTCTCCTGGTAATGAAAGAGGTACTACATATTCCAGATTTGCGGTATAATATTTTATCAGTAAGATAGTAACATCACTACAATTATCTCGAAATCTTTATGAATTAGAGATAAATTTGACAATGGCAACCGCTCGGACTTCCAACAAAAATAATGAAGCTTTGTGGCTTCGAAGATTAGGTCACCTAGGTGCTGATAGTTTAAAGAAGTTATCAAAAAACAATGCAATTGAAAATTTGAAACAACAGAACGAACAGTAAGCCCTTTCTGGTGTAAAGACAACAATTGGACTTCTTTTGGGAAGTTGTTGTCTATAGCTCTTTCCAGGTCCAAATCCCGATTAGCAGCCCTGGTAAGGAGATGGAAGTATATGAGTCCATGGTCTAAAAGTGGAAGTATCACAGAGGTCACTACGTTGAAGGGTAATGGGATTTCGGCGCTGTTAAACAGCGAACAAATATTTTTTTTATCGGAAGATACCACCTGTCTATATATCAGATTGTTGTTTTCTGTTTTAGGTGGATTAATATGGGAGGCTATTTATCGACAGTATATCAGAAAGTTTTTGTCCATAGCTCTTTCCATCTCCTTTGCAGGGTCCATATTGGCGACCCTGGTAAGGAGATGGAAATATATGAGTCTATGGTCTAAAGCAGAATTATCACAGAGGTCACCACGTTGAAGGGCAATGGGTTTTCGGCTGTGTTGAACGGGGAACAAACAAATGTTTTTATCGGAAGATCCCACCTGTCCACATGTCAGATTGTTGTTTTCTGTTTTACGTGGATTAATAGGTCGAAAAGCGTATCGTAGTATAACAGAGGTCACCACGTTCAAGGGCAATGGGTTTTCGGCCAAATAAATGTTTTATGGAGACCCTCCTATTCGGACCTGGAAAGGAGGTGGAGGGTAAATGAGTCCAAGGTGGAAAAAAGGAAGTATTACAGAGGTCACCTGGTCGAAGGGCAATGGGTTTTCGGCTGTGTAGAACGAGGAACAAATACATGTTTTATTGTCCCCCATTGAAGACAATTGGAAAGAAGCCCTTTTGCCCCTCATTTAAAAATACATTCTAACGAGAACTACGATTATTTCCGATTCTTAGAGGGTAGGTGTGAAATATTTATAGGCAGAATTATAGTAAAATATATGCATATATTTTCTATACATTCATAACAGAATGAATCACTCGAAGCACTTTGTGAATCCCGAAAATAGACAATACAACACGAACACCATAGAGGGTTTGTTGCGCCATCTTAAGGTATCTCATTCTACAGATAAATTTGACAATGGCATCCACTCTGGTTTCCGACAAAAATGATAGAGCTTTGTGGTATCGAAGATTAGTTTAACTTGTTGCTAATAGTTTAAAGAAGTTATCAAAAATCAAAGCAAATGAAAATCGGAATCAACAGAACGAAGCCTTTTTGATGCATGTGGAAGGCAAAGGCGATGATACAGGGGTAAGAGCGAAAAGTCCTACAAAGAAGGGATTGTAGTTGCAGCGTGGAAGTGAAAATAAGTGTTACCATCCATATCGTGAATTACACAGGAAGTTTAGTGTACCTAAAGCTGTGTTCGAGGTCAGATATATGTTTCGTTGTTGGATATTTGCCACGTTATCAAGTAAATCGGACTGAATTGCACTGGCAATACTTGAAAAGAATTGTAAGGTACCTCAAGGGAACAAAATCATATAAACTGCAATTTATACCTAATGATGAAAAATTAATTAGATTCGTAGATGCTGACTGGCCTTCAGATGCAACTGATAGAAAATGTGTAAGCGGTTACGTCTTTAAAGTTTTTTTTTTTTGTTTTTTTGCCTGCACAGTTTGCAGACTGTTGCAAAATCATCCAGCGTAGCTGAGTGCGATATGCTTGGCAATTTCAGAAGCTATATGGTTGAAAGATTTGTTGAAAGATAAACCAGTTATCAACCAGTTACAGTATTTTAAGACAACCGTGGTTGTATTCGTATGGCATCAAATAAATAATGTAAGCAAACTAGACATATAGATATAAAGCTCCATTGTGTAAGAGATAAAAATAGAGCTGAAATTACTTAATATTAAGGATCAACTGGCAAACACATTTACTAAGACAAGGCTGGCTTATGACAGAACGGTTGTTCCATAAGCCGAACTTGAAAAAGATTTCCAAGCGTGTCGGTCTTCTGTGCATCTCATCCAATTTGAAAGACCATTTTCCGAGATGTTGTTTTCTACTTGATCTTTCCATCGCATTCGTGTCCTTTCCCTTCTGCGTGAACCATCACTTGGCTCGCTTTTATATGCCTTTTGAGCTGGGGCATCTTCAACCATTCTCACAACGTAGTCGCTGCAGTTCGATATGTCTGACTATATCGATGTCAGAGAATAGATGGTATATCTCATGGTTCATTCGACGACGTATTCACCGTCGACGCAGATCGATCCTTAGATCTCCATATAACATCAGTTGTAGTATCAGCGTCTTGTAAAATGTGAGTTTGGTCTGGCGGAAGGTGGCCTTGTTTCTAACCTGCTTACTTACACCATAGTAGCATCTGTTGGCCAACACTATTTAGTGATTTTATACACTAACTAAACTTATATGCATATCCGATTGAGAGGGGGTAATTAAAGAGCAAGCTCGTTCGTCCTCGGACGGCTCACAAGAAAGACGTAAAAATTTTAAATGAGTATTACACGCCCACGGGCTTAAAAATAGATTTTTACAAAATGGCGGTTGTTAAGCGTTCGCTTAACTAACACGTGTGTTTTTAAATACGGATAACCTATAAATTACGAGTCGTTCAACAAAATCCAAACAGCTGCGCATGAAATTTTTAATTTTCGTAAATTTAATAGCAAAAGAAGATGCTTTTCGCAACTATGTGACTCCTTCACAGTAGAAGAGTTCACTGATACACAAGGCTTAGAAAGTCTGAACATTGTGGTCAAATTCTTTAAGAAGATCGAAGTCAACCTGCAAAACACAAACCACCATCTATGGATAAAGTCAAATTCGTAGCTTAAGCTACATATGGAGACATGGCTCTGAACATTCTATTACCAAATAGGACGTGAGCCAAGGAGGAGAGGAGTTAATTGGAAAAAAAAAATAAAGAGCAAGCTATATTCTACAATAATCGAAACCAAGCAATTGCACGAATTTATTTCAAGTTGAGGAAAAACTTTTTTTTTTAAGTGGTTATTTATACTCTTTCGAGTCGAGCTTGATGATCTAAGTTTTGCAATGAAAAGGAAAGCCAGGAGAAGAACCTACGTACCCACCATTACGCGACACGTTTCGCCGTTGGTTAAGCGGCTCATCAGGCGAACACTTCCAAAAACGGTTGCGCAAAAACATGTGTTATACCAGGAAGCAATTGTAGGTGTGTGGATTAATTATCCATCTCTGTTCCTAGAATGAAGACAAATGTCGAACTTTGACAAAATTTAAATTTAATTCGCATATGCAGGTTTCGCATCAGGGCGGAATAAATACAAGTTATCAACGTTACGACATTTGTAAAGCCACATAGCCCAATATGCCTGATGAGCCGCTTAACCAACGGCGAAACGCGTCGCATAATGGTGGGTACGTAGGTTCTTCTCCTGGCTTTCCTTTTCATTGCAAAACTTAGATCATCAAGCTCGACTCGAAAGAGTATAAATAACCACTTAAAATTACTTTCAAAATGATCACAAAAATTCAAATAACAAAAAGTTGAAGAAAAACTTTTAAAGAAAATTGTTTATTAGTCTATGATTTTATGTAATTTTTAACATTTTTCGTTTTTTTTTTTTTAATTAATTTCTTCCTCGATTGGTGCTATTTCAGTGGCACTGTATGTTTTCACATTTTCCAAACACTGCTCTTCACATCTTGACTGGGACGCAAAACGATTTAGATTACCACCACAACCGCCAAATATAAATTTCTCACACTGCTCCGTTTCACCGTTAAAAGACCAGGCTGGAATACGGGCACGACACATTCCCGTACGGGAAGGTGGCAGAGCACAGAGAGCTATAAAATATTGGAAAAAAAATATAATACTTTTAAATTTATTCTACAAAAATTAAATTTTGGAACTTACAGTTTCCATCTTCTGTTAAAATTACAGCCATAACAGCAGCTGTACAGTACAACCAAATTAAGAAAAGAATTTTCATTGTCTTGCTGTGAATCTGAGTTGGCGGATTAAAGCAATATTTAATTGCTACTGCATATACCTCTCATTGTTTTACAACGTGATGGAAAGCCACAAATCTATAAAAAAAATACTTACAATATGTGTTTGTAAGTTTTTTTTTATTTATATTTCTGTATAAATACAATTGTACTGTGGACTTCTAAGAATCTTTATTGGGAAATACCAGTACATTATTCAATTATGACATAATGACGTCAGCCATTAGCTGCCGTATTAAATTGGAATTGCATTTTAATATATTGCAATGAGAGAGAGAGAGAGGGAGAGAGTATAAAATAATTTTCTCTCCAGATAAAAGTTCGTGAGTCACTAATAGCTCTTTACAATTGTGTCAGACAAATTGGAAGCAATATTTACGAAGGTATAAATAGTTTGTATCTGTTAATTATGAAATCACGATGGTTGGTTATGGAAGCAAGTTATTTAGTGAAAACTGAATTGGAATAATTATTTGTAAAACTTTTTCAGAATCACCATAATCACCACGTTCTTCGAAAATTCGCACTTCCCTATATTACATCACAGTTTTTCCTTTATGTGGATTGAAATACAGAGAAACTTCGATACTCGGTTCTTCGATAAAAAGTCCCAGTCCAGTATTTCCTCCTAGTCGAGATTCATCTGTGTAGCAACAGTTACCAGCAGGCATCTGAACTACTGTTCCGCTATTCCATTATTCTCTATTTGGTATTATATTTCCGCACCGTGTACCTACTCTCCGCCATCACGAAGAAACATCCGACAACGGCATGAGGTTGATTGACTTCACGGCAGCAAAAAAACATAGTAGTTAGCAGCACCAGATTCAAGCACATCGTTATACACAAGACCACCTGGATTTCTCCTGATCAAGCAACGAGAAATCAAATTGATCATGTTGTGATAGACATAATGATGCAGCAAAGGTGGGATCTAACACAACACCGAAACTCGACGTCGAAAAGCTGCAAACACAACAGGTAGCCGAGGCCTACTCCGCTCAACTTAAGTGGGCCACACACGTCAAACATGTGCGTTCGATCGGTGTGAAGCCGTTAGCCCACACACGTCAAACGGATCCACAAAACTTTATTTCGTATTTATTTTTTGAAGCGTGATGGTCAGCGATAGTGATGACGGAAAAAAGAACAAATATTTTTATTTAATATAAATTTATTAAATAATTTTATTTTATTCCGGGAAAATATATTTACTTCCCAAACTGTACGATATGTGTAAAAAACATCAAAAAATTATTTCAAAACATTTTTTTTGCACATTTGTGACATTGTCCGCTGATCCGCACTCCACGAAATTTCATAACAAATGAGAAAATATCCACACACCAGACCACAGACGTCAAACATGTGCGCGTCACACAACGAAAAATTAAAAATTTTTAATTTCTTTCGATCGGTGTGCGCACCACCAAATCCGTTTGAACACCGTACCACACACGTCAAACATTGCTTCGATTCACGCCGATCGAACGCACATGTTTGACGTGTGTGGGGCACTTTACCCACCTGCTTGACGAAAGCACTTATTGTCCCGATAATAGTATAGAAGCACAATGACAAACAATTGCCCACTCTTTAAAAAACTGCAGCAAAAGCAACACTTGGATACCAAAAATCACCACCAAGAAACCAATGGTACGAGCAGGTGTGTCGTAGTGCTACTGATGTGAAAAACGCACCGTATAGGGCAATCCTGCAGACAGTAGCAACAAGTAATATGATGGAGAACTATCGGGAGAAATAGAGAGAGGAGAAACGTATTTTCAGAAAAAAGAAGAAAGAACAAGAAAAACGTGAGTCAGAGTCAGGAGTCAGAATGAAGTCCGGAAATTTTACCAACGAGTAAAACACCAAACCGAAGGTTTTGGTGCAGGCACATCCTTCCGTAGGAAGGAGCATTTCGAAAAGCTTCTGGTATCAAATAGTGGCGGTGAAGAAGATGCCGCAGAACCAATAAGAGATGACGTTATAGACTGTATACCACCTAACCAAGATGAGGTCACAATATCAATTAATCGGCTGAAGAACAAAATATAGTAGCAGTAGCCGATGGGTTACCAGTCGAACTATTCAAGACTGATGATCAGATGCAGGTCAGGAGCATGCACCAACTGATTAGTACAAGTTGGCTAGAGGAATGCATGCCCAATGATTGAAATTTCAGCATCCTGTGTCGCGTGCAACAAAAAAGGACACGATATGTGCCAACTATAGAGGGATTAGCCTTCTTCCCATCGCAAATTTTAAACAACAGACTGCTAATTATATTTTTTATTATTGCAATATTTTGAAATCAATTTCCATGAGAAAAATTTACAACACTTGCGATCCTTTTTTTGCTGGCTGAGCTGAATTTTTATCCCACACACTTACGTTCACACGCAGCTTTTGACGGGAAACGATTGGCATTGCCTTGACATCCGCCATAATTAAAGAATTCACAAGAGTTACTCTGGCTATTGTAGGACCATGATGGTATCTTGGCCCGGCAAATACCAACTATCGAACTTGGCTGGAAGCATGCAGCTATAATTGTTTAAAAATATTTTGATATTAAAATATTATTTTAAAATAAAAAAAATGATTAAAAATTGACTTACAGGATTTGGCAAATGTCATGGAAATGACAGCGGCAATTACAAAAGTCAGCAGTTGAAACGATTTCATTTTGAAGCTTTGAATGAAGTGTTCACACGGTTAGAGATATTTTAACTATGGTGTTTGGTCATTGCTGTTCTTATTTAAATGGTATTTCTAGAGGCATGTACTTTACCATGAACTAACCACAAATGTGTCAGAAATACACATTTTTAAAAATATATATTTCTTCTATAGCGGTTTGCGGAACTTATTACTTGTAAGAAAAATATCTTTGATGAATAGTTTTACATTTATATCAAAGGTTTTTTACCATCTTATTGTATTAATGAGAATGATATCAGGATAGGAAAAAGGCAACATCTATGACGACCACAGGTCAGTTAGATAATCAACCATAGAAAAATAATCCTTCTAACTGTGGCTGGCAACTCTACTTCAGAATTTTAACAGAATTGTTGAGTAACCATGATGTTATGATCATGATGCAATAATAAGGTGATGTATTTGTTTTTGTCTCGACCATGGCACAATGAATAGGTAGTCCATTTAGAGCAGCTGATGTCTTGATTAACTGTCGAAGTGGTAATTTTTACTTGAATTCGATGTGCAATGCTGCCAAATTTTTGAAATATTATAAGGAAAAATTTGACAGATAATCGAGACAAAAAAAAATGTTTTTTGTTTTGATACATCACCTTATTATTGCATCATGGTCTCGGCCATCTGTCAAATTTTTCCATATAATATTTGACATGGTTGGCAACCCTGCACATGATGTAATTGGGATTTAAACATGTTTCAAATATCTAATATATGGTCTGTTCCAGTACTTTTTTTAATAGTAAATCTAGTAAAAGCGAAAAATACCAAAATCTCTCAGAGCAAAAAATAAATGTCAAAATTAGATGGCAATACTTCAAAATCAACACAACAGCCAATCAAAAGTTAGCATTTCTAGTTACCATTTTTATTCGGCCAAATTTTTCGAATAAAAAGTTAACAAAGAGTACGCCATTTTGTTTTGTATCTCTTAAATTTGGTAGAAAGTTTAACTAGTTTTGTGGGTTCGATTTTAAATCGACTAATTGTTTACACATACCTTAAAGCATCTTGTAAAGTGTGAATATGGTCTGGCGGGAGGTGGCCACGTTTCTAAACTGCTTACTTAAACCATAGTAGCTTCTGTTGGCCAATACTATTCCACACCGAATTTCAAAACATATGTAATTAGTTTTATTTATGGCGGTACCAAGGTATATAAAATCTTTGACTACCTCGAAGCTGTAGTTCTCAAGTTCCACAGTTGGTCGGAGTCTACTGGAAGTCTTGCACGTTGATACCATCATTTTGGTCTTCTCGCCGTTTACTGCCAGACCCACTGTGGCAGACTCCTTGTCAATTTGTTCAAAGGTGGTAGTTACCGCTCACAATGTTCGACCCATTATATTGATGTCATCGGCGTAGGCGAGTAACATGTGTTGTTTGATGTACAGAGTGCCATTTCTGTTCACCTTTGCCTCTCGTATAAACTTTTCCAGCAGGAAGTTAAAAGGGGTCACACGACAATCTGTCACCTTGTCTGAATCCTCGTTTGGTATTAAAAGGGCTCCGAGAGTTCCTTTCCGACTTTAACTGTTAATCTTGTGCCAGTTAAAGTTATCCTGCATAGCCGAATTAATTTTGCAGGAATGTCAAATGCTGTCGAATGCGGCTTTATAGTCTACGAATATGTGGTATGTGTCGATGTGTTTTTCGTGGGTCATTTCCAGGATTTGGCGCAGAGTGAAAATCTGGTCAATGGTGGATTTGCATGTCTGAAGCCGCATTGGTATGGTCCAATAATGTCATGGACCATTGGCTTCAGTCGTTCACACAGGACCCAGAATAGCACTTTATATGCGATGGGAAGGAGATTTATTCCTCTATAGTTCGCACATATTGTCTCGTCTCCTTTTCTGTGCACGGGATACAGGATACTGAGGTTCCAATTATTGGGTATTCATTCCTCTAGCCAAATTGTACTAATAAGCTTTTGCATGCTCTTTACCAGCAGTTCGGCTTGTAACCCATCGGTACCTGCTGCTTTATTATTTTTCAGCCGATTGATTGCTATTCTGACCTCATCATGGCTAGGTGGTATAAACTCTATACCATCAACTATTATTGGTTCGGGGGTATCCTCTTCACCGCTACTATTTGATACCAGAAGTGTTTCAAAATGCATTAGATTAAAAGTGCGTCTTTTTTGAAAATCTGTTTCTCTATGAAGGAGTTGCCAGATCGAAACAAAATTTAACATGTGTTCATAACACAGATGGAAGTCTCCAAAACACTTAACCTTTTTTCTGTTTATACCGCGGTTTTGTGCTAGGCTAAGAACTTTCCGAACTGCCCTCATACATCCAATAGATATCGAAATTAAGTATGAAGCAACTAAAATCAATGGGCGAGTGGATAGACACCGTAGACAACATACCGCACAAAGACATATTACAGATAACTTTTGGGTCCACAAGTAATACTTTTGACTCAAATCGAATACGGTACGAAACTATAATACCGGATAGAGAACAATGGAATAGCGGAACACTACTTCAGATGCCTGATGGTAACTGTTGCGGCACAGGTGGCTTTCGACTAGGAGGAAAGACCGAACTGGCACTTTTTATTGAAGAACCGTGTACCGAAATTTCTCTTTCGCCTTACAGATCACAGCACGATCCTACAGGTGGTGGTTCAAACTATAACAGAGTGTCTTTAAACCGAGGACAAAATGCAACAAATGTAATTACGGATAGCAAAGAAGCTATAAATGCAATATCCTCCAAAAGAGATAAATCAAAAACTATACTGGACCGTATAAATACCATTAGCAATTTCTCACAACAAGGATCTGTACGAATTATATGGGTACAGAGTCACACAGGACCCACCAGGACCGAGATAGCCAACCAAGCTTGCTAGAAGTGCCATTGCACTACACACAATAGATGTGAGTTCTGTCAAACCTTTAAGCTCAACATGCCAAGAAACGTGGGCATGGGCGAATGAGATCCACAAAACTCTAGGGGATAATTAGGGGACAGGAAAGATTACAAAAATGTTATGGGGGACCCAAATGAAGACAAAACTAAGCAAATCCTAATGCTAAACAAAAAAGAAATAAGCAGACTGACGGGTATTCTAACGGACAACTGAATACATATCTACTCAAGATTGGATGAGAGGGTAGCAGCAGGTGCAGAGAGCGCGTGGGAAAGACAGTGACACGCTGGAATATAAGACTAAGCAAGTGCTAATGCTAAACAAGGTACATTTACTCAAGATTGGATGCGAAGGTAGCAGGAGGTGCTGAAAGCGTGTGGGAAAGACTGTGACACACTGGAAGACAAAACTAATCAAATATTTACGCTAAAAAATAATAAGCAGACTAACGAATATTCTTGCGGGACACCTCACACCGAAGGCACATAAACTGAAGATTGGTTGCGAAGGTAGCAGCAGGTGTAGAGAGCGTGTGGGGAAGACAGTGAAACACCGGAACATTTCCTGTGCCACTGTCCAGCGTTTAAATGCCTTCTTGGGATATGACACTATGTACGGTCTAACAGCGGGGTGTGAATGGAAGAAGTTCTCAAAAAATACAGAATTCCTAGAATCTTAGAGTCATCAAACCCAAGATGCTTAATCTGATTTTCCCTAATTCTTATATAGTTTTCATTTCTAGAGCGCACAACAGGGCTCAACTGGCTTAAGTGTAGTTATATATAGTTTCGGATCTCGCCACTAATCCTCATCAGATCCCTTGGTTTTGTTGTATATTTTATTTAAAATGTTAAAAATTGCGTTCTAGTTGCAATGCAGAATACAATCTAAAGAGAATTCTCCTCCTTGCTCATTTGAAACGTTGGGCGCCAATCGCATCATGAATTCCATCATAAAAAAAAACTGAAGACACCATACCTATATTTTGTGATAAATTTATTGGCACCAATCCCTGTCACTGCGGACAACTGACTTCCATTAGCCATTTTGTAGAAGAGCGTGAAATTGTGAAATGTTGGGCGACACTTGTTTTTTTATACCATTCACCACTCTGTGGTACAGGGTATTATGTCTTTGTGCATATGTTTGTAACAGGCAAAAGGAAACGAGATAGACACATGGTTCCTTTTGAGAATATGCATAGAATCACTTTCTGAGTCGATTTATGCATGTCCGTCTGTCGATGTTAAATTGTAAACAAGGTACAGGTCGCATTTATAATCCGAATTGGATGAAATTTGGCATAGGTCACTTATTCGGCCCAAGGACGAACCCTATTGAAATTGGGAAAAATCGGTTCAGATTTAGATATAGCTCCCATATATATTTTCGTCCGATTTAAAGTAAATGGTGTACCAAAGTCTCTATATATACTTCGATTTGCACGAAATTTGTCATAGCGTACTGAATTGAGTCTAGAATGATGAGTAGTGAGTTTCGGGAAAATCGGTTTAGATTTCGACATATCTCCCATATATATGTTCGTCCGATTTTATGTAAATGGTGCACCAAGGTTCCTATATATAGCTTTCGATTTGCACAAAATTTGGCATAGCGTACTGAATTAAGTCTAGAGAGATGTGTGTTAATTTTCGTGAAAATCGGTTCAGATTTAGATATAGCTCCCACATATAGATTATATTCTTAACAATGCGGCGTACCGAATAGCGTGCATCAATTTTGCTATAAATCGTTTTCCATAAATTTTCCCCATGTTACGCAGGCGGCTCTAAATCTGCTCGATTGAAATTAAAGTTAGGATAGGTTGGAGAAAGAGGGAACATGCAATTGTTAGGATACATATGTACAATATACCCAAAGTGGTGAAGGGTATCATATAGTCGGCCCAGTCCGACTTTACTACTTTCCTTACTGTTTTTCTTGGCAACTTTGTAGACATGTGGCAACATTTTGAAATGTTGGGCGCCACTTTGTTTTGAATTCCTGAGCAATCATTGGGAAGAAACTTAAAGAAGCGTGCCTGAGATCCTTGGCAACTTTGTAGACATATGAGAAAATTT